CCTGTCATGTATACTGTGTCTTTTGGGGAGATATTGCGGGTTGAGGGGTGCCTGTCATGTATACTGTGTCTATTGGGGAGATATTGCGGGTTGAGGGGTACCTGTCATGTATACTGTGTCTTTTGGGGAGATATTGCGGGTTGAGGGGTGCCTGTCATGTATACTGTGTCTATTGGGGAGGTGCTGTGGGAGAGAGACTACTTTGTTATTCTGATCAGCAGTCCTGGCTGAGACATTCCTATTGTGTGTGAAGGGAAGTTCATCCCTGTTCTTTAAATAACATTTTGTTCAGTGACTGATTCAAATTTTGTGTATAAATTGTTTGTGTTCAATGTTTGTATCCTGGCATTCACTTCTAAACAAAACTGTCAAGATATTTGTTTCGTAAATTCATACATAATTTGCATAATTAATTCACAGTTTTCTTACTTCCAACTCTCTTGACCTCATCCAAGAGGTCAAAGATCGCAGTGATCCATTTCATGTATCGGTCATTACTAATGAAACACATACGAAAATTAGTGACGGTAGGTTTCTCAGCTGTTCTGCCCAGTTAAGACTGGTCAGTTGTATCCTTGACCAGTGTCCAGATGTGATAGAACAGATGGGAGTGGACCTACTGCCCTACATCGTATTGCTAGTCGTCCCCATCCTTGGCCGAATGAGTGACCAGAACGATGCTGTCCGTCTCCTGGCAACCAATGGCTTCGCCTCCCTGATCCGCCTCTTGCCCCTGGAGGTAACTATCAGTTTTCTCTCATTTCCGTGTGTGTAAGACAGAACTGTCCAGGGTAAGACAGGGGTGTAAGAAATTTCTATCTTACACCCTGTTTCACGTGACGTGACGTCACAATTGCTCAACAATGACCTGATGTCACAAATTCGGAAAAGTCTGATGCCACAATGTGAAAAAAGGCGATGTGATGAAAATAAAACCTTTTATAATAAATTGACTATACAAGTTAGAAAGATGAGATGAATTTTTCGGTGCAAACATGGGGTATTCTTAATCCGGGGGAAAGTTGATATTTTCAAAATGGTAGCCACTCCAAACGCATTTTCATGGTTTCTGAGCATATTCAGGTAGTTGGAATGACAGAAATATACTCTTCCATGGGTGTAGGATGGTATTGTCGTGACATGTGGTTGTGTCCTGCATTTCAGATTTTTTATTCAAAGATTTTCTTTTCAATAGAATTATGCCCTTGGTGTGTTGTGTTGATTGGGAAGTCATGGGGGAGGGGTATTATGCACCAAACACACTTTCTTTTTTCTAAATCTGAAATCAAATTTGGTGTCATTTAGTAAGACACGTTAGTCGTGAATGACGTTATCATGTAGTAGACCGCATCTAGAAGTATTGTATTCATCCAGTCAAATAATATTGCACTGTTGAGAAATAAGACAAATTCTCAACAAGGCTTAATAACTATATAGACAGCCAATGAATGCCCTAGATTTTGTCATGTGATGTACAAAGAATTAAAATATGTGTAATAATGACTATTTGTTTTATCTGAAGGCGAGTATTCCTGACCCTCCGGAGATGAACCCAAGACTTGTCGCCCAAAAAGAACGGCAGCGAAAATTTTTAGAACAACTCATGGATGGTTCCAAAGTGGAAAGTTACCAAGTTTCAGTGCCAGTAGACGCAGACCTCCGCAAATACCAACAGGTACAGAGAAAGTCTTGGCCCCAGTTTTGCGAAAGATTTATAAAAGAATAATTTGCTATCTGAATATTTTAAATCATTTGAAATTTCCACTTAAATGTTAAATAAAAAAGAAGTTGGAGAAAAATTCATACAATTTAAGACTCTTATCTCATATTTTTCGAAGACATGCTTAGTAATCTCAAGAGCTTTAAAGAGAGTAACAAAATATAAGCTTGAATGTGACCTTCTTGACTGACCTTAACCTTAAATTGACTGACCTTAACCTTAAATTGACTGTGACCTTAACCTTGAATTGACTGTGACCTTAACCTTGAATTGACTGTGACCTCAACCTTGATTTGACTGTGACCCTAACCTTGAATTGATCATGACCTTTAACTTGAATTGACTGTGACTTTAACGTTGAATTGACTGTGACCTCAACCTTGAATTGACTGTAACCTCAACCTTGAATTGACTGTGACCTTGACCTTGAATTGACTGACCTTGACCTTTAATTGACTGTGACCTTAGCCTTGAATTGACTGTGACCTCAACCTTGAATTGACTGTGACCTTAACCTTGAATTGACTGTGACCTTAACCTTGAAGGATGGTGTAAACTGGCTGGCGTTCCTGAACAAGTACTGTCTGCATGGTATCCTGTGTGATGATATGGGGTTAGGGAAGACACTACAGTCCATTTGTATCCTGGCCAGTGACCACTTCCTCCGGGAACAAAAATACAAGGTCAGTCCTTTATTCAGGTTTTTTGACTGTAAGGAAAACAGCAGATGCTGTGACGCTGTTATGTGTTTGCTCCTGTATCTTTTGTAAATTGGTATAATTTCTTAATTTCCAGTACGTAGAAAACATAATAGATACTCTGCAAGGTTAGCAATACATTCAGCAGATACAGACATTCACTGAGATAGGGTACTGTTATCCTCTCCTTGTTTTTAGCTCACCTGGTCCGAAGGACCATGATGAGCTTATGCCATACCGCAGCATCTGTCCGTCCGGCGTATGTCCATCAACTTTTCCTTTAAAATGCTACTAGTCCTGAACGGCTAAGTAGATTTTGACTAAATTTGGTCTGGAGCATCCTTAGGCCTTCTTCTACCGTAGGGATTAAGGGATTTTATTCTAACTTAATCTGGAGCGTCCTTGGGCCAAGGGAACACAATTTTGTATGAACGGTGGGTGTAGCCCCCATCGGTGCAGTGCTGGGCCGAATAGGGGAAATAGAGGTAAAATCTTTAAAATCCTTCTTCTACCATAGGGATTAAGGGATTTTATCCTAAATTAGTCTGGAGCATCCATGGGCCAAGGGGACACAATTTTGTATAAACGGTGGGTGTGGCCCCCTTGGGGGCAGAGGGGCGGGGTCGACCAGGGTAAATAGAGGTGAAACCTTTGAAATCCTTCTACCATAGAGATTAAAGTTTTCTATCCTAAATTAGTCTGGAGCATCCTTGCATCTTGGTCTTGGTGTGGCCCCCCTGGGGGCAGAGGGGCGGGGCCCAATAGGGGAAACATAGCAAATTCTTCAAAATCATTGTCCTTCTGTAGCAATGACAGGATTTTGTCCAAATTTGGTATGAAGTATCCTTGGGTAAAGGGGAACCAATTTTGTATTAACAGTGTGTCTGACCCTCCTGGGGGTAGAGAGGCAGGGCCAAATAAGGGATATATAGGAATTATGCTTTAATATCCTTTTTCTTCCATTAGGATGAAGGTATTTTGACCAAATTTGAACAGTAGCATCCTATGCGGAAGGGAAATCAATTTTGTGTAAATGGTGTGTCTGGCCCCTCTGGGGCCTGAGAGGTGGGGCCCAATAGGGGAAACATAGCAAATTCTTCAAAATCCTTCTTCTCCTGTAGGAATGACAGGATTTTGTCCAATTGCATATAAATATAACCCCTGACTAACCATGTAATACATGTACACTACCAGCAACATCTAGCTATTCCAACTTCAATTTTACTAACATTTCCAGGTGAGCGATACAGGCACTCTGGGCCTCTTGTTATTTTTTTCATATTATTCCCCACAAGTGATTGGCCAGAAGAACATCACATGTCAACAGTTTATATTTGTTAATATATGTTTTCTCAGGTCGATAAATCCAGGTGTTGACCTCAACCAAAGGCTATAAATTGAATAGTATCTAATGTAGGTTTCCTTTACCATAAAAAATGAAATTATGGCTTAGAGTCTGTAATAACTCAAAGAAAAGTATGTAATATCCTTATGGTATGAATAAAAATAGAAAGATTACACATTTGTAAGGAAAATTGAGGCAAAATGTTCCATAACAATGTGACTAAAGAAAAGTAGAAAAATCTGAAATATCAAAACATGAATGCTTGTAACTCAAATAGTCTACCTACTGGTTAAATACATTATTTGCCTAGAGATCTATTCACTTTATTCACAAACAAGAGGCCCAGGGGCCTTGATAGCTCACCTGGAATTTTATTTTTTATTTTTCAAGCTGTATCAAACTATGCATATTTGGCAGATCTTATTGCTCTACACCTTTTATATCTTTGTGAATCTTTGTTGGAAGACTTGAACAAATGTTTTTGATCTGAACTAAGCTGGTTGTTTTAGCCATTTAGTCACTTCTAACACATCATATTGATTTAAACCTTTAACCTACATCACAAAATGTCATGAGCTTCAGCCAGCCTCTTTTATTATTCAGAAGTCAATTAAATGTTTTAACAAATTTAAACATATATGGCCCTGAAATTAACAATTTTAACATAAAGTCACTCTAAAATTGAGTCAAGGTCATTCAAGAGCATTTGAATATATTTTAGAACCCTTTATCCCAGCATGTTATTGGCTAAATATCATCACCTAAGATTTCTTTGATATTCAGAAATAGTCATTTATTATGTCTCCCCTTCGAATTAAGGGAGACATATTGTATTAGTACTGGTTCTTCTTCTTATCATTATCATTATTATTATTCTGGTTCTTTTAATCTGACTTGTCCGGGCCATAACTTTTAAACGGTTAAAGATATCTTAATCAAACTTGAAGTATACCTGAGTTATGTCCCTTTGTTTAATTTTAATACCGAAGTTTGTCCAGAGCATAAGTTCTATGTTATTTCACCTTAGTTGACCATACTCACCATATTGATGTATCTTGGGAAGGTGGAATTTCTCACACTAAAATCAGATTTTATGCCCCACTATATACAGATGATGGCCCTTTGTTTATTTTTAATACCGAAGTTTGTCCATGGCATAACTTCTAAACCATTAAAGATATCTTAATCAAACTTGAAGTATACCTGCATCACTCACCGAAGGTGTGCAGTGCACTGGAATTAGGTTGTGCGTCACTATATACAGGGTTATGGCCCTTTCTTTATTTTTAACACTGAAGTTTGTCCACGGCATAAATTCCATGTTATTAGGGCCCCGTATCCAAGATGCGGTTGCCCTATACTAATACATCCGTCCGTCCGTCCGTCCGTCACAATCAAATTCAGTATCTTTTCACTGGGGAACATTTTGTTATGACACTTTGAAGCAAAGTTGGTTGGAATTAAACAAGGAATCAGTTGATCAAAGGTCAAGGTCACTGGGTCAAAGGTGAAGGTTACATTTTGTGTCTTTTTACTGGTGAACATTTTGTTTTGACACTTTGAAGCAATGTTGGTCAGAATTAAACAAGGAGTCAATTGACCAAAGGTCAAGGTCAAATTTTGTATCTTTTCCCTGATGAACATTTTGTTATGGCACTTTGGAGCAATGTTGGTCAGAATTAAACAAGGAGTCAATTGACCAAAGGTCAAGGTCAAATTTTGTATCTTTTCCCTGATGAACATTTTGTTATGACACTTTGGAGCAATGTTGGTCAGAATTAAACAAGGAGTTATTTGACCAAAGGCCAAGGTCACTTGGTCAAAGATCAAGGTCAAATTTTGTATCTTTTCAATGATGAACATTTTGTTGTGACATTATGAAGCAAAGTTGGTTGAAATTTAACAACCAGTCAACTGACTTAAGGTCAAGGTCACTGGGTCAATTTCAAGGTCAGATATTGTATCTTTTTACTGATGAACATTTTTTGTATGTTTTTATGAAGCAAAGTTGTTCAGAAATTAACACAGAGTCAACTAACCAAAGGTCAAGGTTACGGGTTCCAAAGGTTCAAGGTCAAGGTCTAGTTTTGTATTTTTCACTGATGAACATTTTGTTATGATTGATATTATGAAGCAAAATTGGTCGGAATTGAAGAATGAGTCAACTGACCAAAGATCAGGGTCACTGGGTTAAAAGTCAAGGTCATTTAGGTCCAAAGGTCAAAGTCAAAGTGGATCTCTTACTTTGATCCTGGCTCTTGATGGGGGAAGTATTTAAGGTGAAATAAAACAAATCAAAGCTAACAAATGAATATTGCACCGGTATTTACATTTCTGTTAGCCCAGCAAATATGGAAGTGGAAGGAAACAAGACTCACATCATAGTACATGTAAAATGTATATTTTGCTTCCTTTTTGGGGGATTATTTTTTGAAGTCCAAATGTCAAACGTCAAGTTCAGCTATATGGGCAGATTGCTGGCTCTTACTGACCTGTCAGTGTTCTAGTTTCACCCAGTCGACCAAACTTCCAAAAGTTTCAATGTATCTTGGGTAAGTAGGAGTGTCAAATTCTTAATTCGGGTCTCGTGCCCCACTATATAAAGCGATATGGCCCTTTGTTAATTTTTCATACCGGAGTTTTTCTATTGGCTAATAAGGGGAGACATATGTTTTTGTTCACAAAAACAAAATTCTAGTTTATTTATTTGTTTTTCGGGATCTTTTCTTTGGTAGCACTGCTTTCGCTAAGTTTGTGGAGAAATTACAGAGGCATTCATGTTGATTAATAACAATTTTATATAATCAACAAAATCATAAGCACATCATAAACATAACAATACAAGACACGTGTGTGTGTGGCGTAAACTACAACCTCGCCTACAAATGTCACAATGACCCACGGGGGTCCAACGCATCACGCTCTGTACACGTAAAACAGACAGTCAATCATGGTTATCACACAACACACAGTTCCTTGGGAGTGTTAAGCGCACTGGCTATACTTAGCCCACTTTTGTCTTGTGTTCCACCATCTTTACCGTCTCTACCGTCTTCCTCACGTCTTTCCGCTCTCTCCCTGACCCAAGCTGAATCTGTTTTCTTATTCCCAACTTAATGTTCTGTAACGGGAGGTAATTCCTGACTCCCTTTCCGAAGGTAGCACACCACTAATGAGGTATGGCCGCTACATATACCGTGTATAACATACACATATAAAAGTTCTTGATGCGCACACACATTTGATATAAGGTTTTGAACGCGCACACACACCTTATTCATATTAATCCAATACAGACATATTTATCTTGACAAATGTTGTAATATGTGTTGTGTGTAAAAAATGGATGTGTTGACCTCCTTTGGGACTGATAGTGGGGCCCAATAGGAAAAATAGGGGTAATTTAAAAGACTAATCCTTCAGTACAGTTTGCTCTATATGAACATAATTTAGTATGAAGCATCACCAGACCAAGATAGTGATGGGCAACCGTTTTAAAATCAAAATCAATAATTGGTTTGTAATCAGAAGTATAGTAAACCAATTGATGATCGATTGCATGATCGGTACTACTATATAAGTATACGGGATTGAATACCCCCAAAAAGTGAAATAACGACGGTTGCATCAACAGACAGAGTTGTCGACTAAACATTACGTTTCGTTCTTTTATGAAGAATGGATTCCAAGCAACTTTTATGCAGTTTTGTCAATCATTTAATTATAAGAATTTTACTTGGGATGAAGGGCTACCAAGTTTGATCAAATACTTCAATTAATTCAAGGTCATAGGGGTCAATTGTCTTAAAAAACCCATTAAACAACTTCTTCTGAACAACCAAAAGGCCTAGGGTGATGATATTTGGCCAATAGCATGCACGGATGAAGGGCAACCAAGTTTATTTAAATAAAGGATCTTCACCAATACTCAAGGTCACAGGGGTCAAATATGTTTAAAACTTTAAACAACTTCTTCTGAATAACCAAGATGTCTAGGGTGATGATATTTGGTCAGTAGCATGCTGGGATGAAGGGCTACCATGTTTGTTCAAATGAACTACCTTCACCCATTTGCAAGGTCACAGGGGTCAAATAAGTCAAATCTTGGTCCAGGTTAATGATATTTGGCCAGAAGCATGCTGGTATGAAAGGCTATAACTTCAACCTAATTTCCTTGTTTGACTTTCAAGGTCACATGTGTCACATGTTTAAATCTTTTAATAAATTCTTTTGAATCAAACACTGGTATTTTGCATGTAGCTGTATTTTAGTCCACTTTTAAGATTACAAGTGTAAGATTAATACCAGGTGAGCGATTTAGGCCCATTGGGCCTCTTGTTATACTTATCACTTCATCTGCTTTTGTCACTGAAACCTTTGTTAAAAACTTGCTTACATCAGTTTGTCATCCAAGCAAAAAATCTCAAAGTTTCCCTCACCTTGGTGGCTGAGTATGGAATATATATAAGTATAAAGATGACACTTATTAATTAAGTTTAAAAAAATATATAGTACATGTGTTTATTGGTAAGTCTGTATTAGCATGTATATTATGTGTGGAACTCTTTTAAGTACCATACATCCTTAAGTAGTACTGATTTGTATAGAGATCATCTATAATTACAGGAGAGTAAGATCCCGGATTGTGCCCCTTTGTCGTCAATAGTGATATGTCCCCCGACACTGATTGGCCACTGGGTTTACGAGGTGGAGAAGTTCGTGGACCAGCAGTATTTAAATCCTCTCATGTATGCGGGGCCCCCTAGTGAACGAGTCAGGTCAGTATCAAGGGACTATCACACAGTGGAGCCTATTATATATCAAATAGGGACATTTATTTGTGGTAAAATTTTCAGAAAAGTCATACAGAGTTTGGATAGCATGTAGTTCGATTGAGTTCATGGTTTAGCATTTTGCACCAATTAATGTCAAGGTCATTGTTACTATTAATAGAAAATGTATTCATGGTGCTATAAATGTAAACTTAAGGGGTTTTATTAGTGACATATAAGGAGTGTACAGTTTGAATGACAGATTTATGTAATTATAAATTATATTATAAAAAAAGAGGTAAGTGTGATTTCTGTTTTCTGTATGGCAGGCTTCAGAAGAGAGTGAAGAAACACAATCTGATCGTAGCCTCGTATGATGTCGTCCGCAACGACATTGACTTCTTCAGGTAGGTCACGATAAAATTCTTTCAGTGCCAAGATGGCCAATAAACAGAAACTTATTAGTTCAAGATTATTTCTGTAGTACCTAGTGTTGTAAAGCCTACCTGTCACAAAGCCTTATGTTTCTGTGTGTTTTTACCATAAAGGTTTTCCTGTCATATATATTTCATCACTATTTATTTAAGAGAGGAAGATAAGGAAGATTATAAAATATGAATAATATAATTATGAAATTTTTATTTTTATGAATGTTGATCATATACAGCAGGGCTGCCATATAGTGAAATAAAACCGTTATAAAGTTTTTGATGTAACTTGACTAACTAATTATAGATATTTTAAGGGACTGTATGATGTCACAGATTCACAGCAGTCACAAACCAGATGGTACTTTTCTTCATTTTTTTCCATCCTAAACGTGAAATAGATATTTACCATTGAAACTGAGCATGGTTTAGTTGAGAGTGAGAAAAGCTGTTCCTATCTATCTGATTTGAGGCCACGGAGGCCAAGTGGTTAAGGCATCTAACATTCTGCTACCACTAGCCATCCACCACTGGGTCGCGGGTTCGAGACCCACCTGGGGCAGTTGCCAGGTACTGGCTGTAGGTCGGTGGTTTTTCCCCGGGTACTCCAGTTTTCCTCCACCATCAAAACCTGGCACGTCCTTAAATGACCATAGCTGTTAATAGGACGTAAAACACAAATACACCAAACCAAACCAATCTGATTTGTGGTAAAAATCACTAAAGCATGAAATGTATATGTATTGAGAAAGCATCAGAGATACTCTGTTTATATGAAGTACAATGTAGGCAGGATAGGTGATCTTTGAAATGAAGTACTGAAAAACAGAATAGAAATTTTGACTTCCCTTTTTATTCAGTTACTCCTGACCTGGTGTGATATATTTTTTTCCCCCTTATTTCAGTACTATCAACTGGAACTACTGTATCCTAGATGAAGGCCATATCATTAAAAATGGCAAAACAAAGGTAAGAAATTTCTAGCTGTTTTAAAATTTACCAGGAATTTATTCTAGATTTGGGATCGTCCTAGTTTAAATATAAGGTTTTACAGCAAACTGCCAGGGCAGAGAAGGCCAGGTATTAAATTGATTGCCTTATAACAGAGCAAGCCCGTGCTTGTGTGAATCACACTACGAGCAATTTTCACCACACTTAACGGCACATAGGTTCGCATCCACACACAAGTAAGTGAATGTAAAGGGCATTTTGCTAATATCTAATAGATTACCTATTAACTTATAGAGCAAAGATATCAACAATTTGTCCATTGCTGTCATCTCAATGACATGGACACCAACGATATCCTCTGCGCTTTACTCAGCCATGCTTTTATGACAGGTATCTTGCATGCTTCTTTCTCACAAAAATTATGTAAAAAATGTGAATTTCTTTGGTTAGAGTTTGGCTTGAACTGTTTTAGCAAAATAGACCACAGGACTTAGTATTAAATTATCTATTATAAAATATAGACAGGAAATAAAGTTTTGATATTTAATTATAATAGTTAAACAGAAGTGTAAGGACTACGTAAAGATGGAATTATTTTTAAGCAACATAGTCAGGAATCAGTAACTCTGTATTAGTCATTATTTTTTCTATTGCATGCATCAACAAAATCTGTTTTCACATAAAATAATAATTTTCCTACACAATGCCATAGTTTGTGTTCCTACATAATGCCATAGTTTGTGTTCCTACATAAAGGCCTAGTTTGTGTTCCTACATAATGCCCTAGTTTGTGTTCCTACATAATGCCAAAGTTTGTGTTCCTACATAATGCCATAGTTTGTGTTCCTACAAAATGCCATAGTTTGTGTTCCTACATAATGCCATAGTTTGTGTTCCTACATTATGCCATTGTTTGTGTTCCTACATAATGCCATAGTTTGTGTTCCTACATAATGCCCTAGTTTGTGTTCCTCCCTAATGCCATAGTTTGTGTTCTTGACATCTGTTTCAGTTGTCGAAGGCAGTAAAGCAGCTCAACTGTAATCACCGCCTGGTACTGACCGGAACACCCATCCAGAACAATGTGCTTGACCTGTGGTCACTGTTTGACTTCTTAATGCCTGGCTTTCTCGGGACGGAGAAACAGTTCCAGGCGAGGTACGGCAAGCCCATCCTCCAGAGTCGCGACGCTAAAAGTACGTCGAAGGAACAGGAAGCAGGTGAGTGTAAATCTGTGGAATACACAGTTAATCATTTTATACTGTGTGTGTACTGTTTTAGCAAAGTAAGCCTGTAGGTTTTATTTGTGAATACTTGAATATGTGATTGAGAGGATATACGATGTGATTTTTATATCAATAGTAATTGTCTCTTTAAATTTATGAATGGGTCTCCTTGCACATTAGCATGATAAAATAATTTGTAATAAAAATGAAGTTCTTCACTGTATATCAATTGTTCTTAGGATTTGTATTCATGCCAGCATGACTAATAAATAAAGGGGGTCGTGGTGGCCGAGTGGTTAAGGTGGCTGACGGTCCACAAATATTGCTTTCCACCACGTGGTGGCCGAGTGGTTAAGGTGTCTGACGGTCGACAATCATTGCCTTCCACCACGTGGGGGCCGAGGGGTTAAGGGGTCTGACAGTCCACAATCATTTCCTTCCCCCACGTGGTGGCCGAGTGGTTAAGTTGTCTGACGGTCCACAATCATTGGCTTCCACCACGTGGTGGCCGAGTGGATAAGGTGTCTGACGGTCCACAATCATAGCCTTCCACCTCGTGGTGGCCGAGTGGTTAAGGTGACTGACGGTCCACAATCATTGCCTTCCACCCCGTGGTGGCCGAGTGGTTAAGGTTTCTGACGGTCCACAATCATTGCCTTTCACTACGTGGTGGCCGAGTGGTTAAAGTGTCTGACAGTCCACAATCATTTCCTTCCCCCACGTGGTGGCCGAGTGGTTAAGTTGTCTGACGGTCCACAATCATTGGCTTCCACCACGTGGTGGCCGAGTGGATAAGGTGTCTGACAGTCCACAATAATTGCCTTCCACCACGTGGTGGCCGAGGGGTTAAGGTGTCTGACAGTCCACTATCATTGCCTTCCACCACGTGGTGGCCGCGTGGTTAAGGTGTCTGACGGTCCACCATCATTGCCTTCCACCACGTGGTGGCCGCGTGGTTAAGGTGTCTGACGGTCCACAAACATTGCCTTCCACCACGTGGTGGCCGAGGGGTTAAGGTGTCTGACGGTCCACCATCATTGCCTTCCACCACGTGGTGGCCGAGGGGTTAAGGTGTCTGACGGTCCACCATCATTGCCTTCCACCACGTGGTGGCCGAGTTGTTAAGGTGTCTGACGGTCCACAAATATTGCTTTCCACCACGTGGTGGCCGAGTGGATAAGGTGTCTGACGGTCCACAATCATTGCCTTCCACCACTTGGTCGCCGGTTTGAGGCCTATATGTAGGACAATCGCCAGGTATTGACCACAGGTCGGTGTTTTTTCCTCAGGGTACTCTATATTTCCTCCACCACCAAAATCTGACTCGTCCGTAAATGACCATAAATAGCTGTTTAATAGGATGTAAAGCACAAACAAAGCAAACCAAACTAATAGATAAAATCTGCTCAATCTCTATTTGATCATTGAAGGTGCTTTTCTTGGGATAAATCTAGGATTTAAGGAAATGTACAGTATATTTCACAAAAGACTGTTACCTTAATTACTTTATATACTCGTAACATTTACTACCGTATGTATCTGGCAATAAGCAGACCAATATCAATTACAGTTCAGTAAAAATGCCAACAAATGCTATTTCATCGTCCAGTAATGAACCCGCCTCCTTACTTTGTTTCAGGAATTATGGATTAACCTGAAGTACAGTGCTTCAACGAAGTATTTTTACATCCATCATCAGAGTTTCAGCCACCGTCCATTTGATATCTGGTTTCTTTGTTGTAGGAGCTTTAGCGATGGAGTCCCTGCATCGTCAGGTTCTGCCGTTCATCCTACGCCGTCTGAAAGAGGACGTCCTGCAGGACCTACCTCCTAAGATCATACAGGATTACTACTGTGATCTCAGTCCCCTACAGGTACGTCGTCACAGGTTGTGAGGTCTTGTAGATGGCCATAAAACAGGGTCAAGGTCACTGCTAGAATTGCCATGGGTGTTAGAGGTAGGCTTTGGTCTTGCTCTATGTCTCATGGTGTAAATTGTAAAATAGAAGGTAATGTTTCATAACATCCTGGAAGGAATGTTTGAGTGTGGTGTTTCAGTACCACAGTAAATCTGACAATATTCTATGATGGGTAGCAGTATTATGTTACACAAATGACCTGCATGCTCAAGGCAGCTGCTTGACCACCGGCTAGGAGGGGGCGTTGCTCAATTGTAATGTCATCTGAGTCCGACCTCAGTTACTTAAATTAGTGCCGAGAATGATGAGTATTTGTGGCAATTATTGTATGTTTTGCAGTTTATGATTTCATTCAAACAGACGTTTGACTGTCTTAAATAAAAAATAAAAATCAATGTGTATTTTATTGTTTGCACAATTCTGTGTATTTCAACATGCTATATTAATCCCCCATGTAATATATTTTAACTGCGACCTTGAAAACCCTGCTCCAAGCTGTCACAAATGTTGGTGAAATTTTGTTACTACAAATTCAACTAGGCCAAAGTTGAGAGTCAAGTTTGAATGTTGACAAATGCAAGATTCATGTGGATTTATTTCTATGCAAATTGAATACAAGTGTACCTATTTGTGTATGTTTTATTTTATATGCCAACCCCCAACCCCTGTATATTTCCTGTCAAGCATGTCACTCGACATTGCAATTTATTGTCATAGCTTTTACCGGCTTCTTTTCCTAACAGTTTTTCATCAAAGGTCATGCATGAGAAAACCTCAGACATTCGTATTTCACAGTCTCGAGGTTACACCAAGGTCACTTATAATTGCTATTTATAGGTGATCCATTGCTAGTTCAGCTACCAATTCATTCAGTGTCATCAGCCTACCAACATCAGGCTCAAGAGGGGCATTAATTTATGTGTTAGTTTATATTAACATTGACATTTACATGACATTGTGTTTCTCCACCAGGTGGAGCTGTACGAGGACTTCGCTAAGTCCCAGGCTAAGAAGGGTGTGGAAGACATGGTCACGTCACTAAAGGTGGAATCTCCGGAGAAGAAAGCGCCCGGTAAGGGCAGTACTCATGTATTCCAGGTAAGTGGCAGTTTTTTCTGGATGATAAACACATTTGTTCCATGTACAAGTCATTTTAACTTAATGAGGTTGCCCAACCGCAGGGCAGAGTTCAGGCAACAGGGAAAATAAAGAACTATGAGTACATCTCCTAAAAGAACACTCCTTGACAATGGCTTGATAGATAAAATCTTAATATATAGTACAGAAAAACCTGGATATAATGTTCCTCCTTTCATTTGTCACCTTGTTTACTGCCAACATATTTCAATGTTCCTTTTTCTTGTTTTCTTGAGAATTCCTTTGTAAATGTCCCTCAATTTATTGCCAAACCCTTTATAACACCAAACTTTCTCGAGACAAATGCATGGTGGCAGTATAATGAGGTGGCAGTATAACGAGGTGTTGCTGTGTATAACGAGGTGTTGCTTTGTATAACATTCGCAGGCAAATATAATTCACTTTGTATATCAGTGCCCTGGTAAAACAGAACAGAAGCACAAATGCTGACAGGATGGTATAATAAAACAAACAGCTATTTCACCATGGAAACATGAAACGTTGATTTGACCTGACTTTGTGTCCATGTGTTGTTTACTTCAGGCGTTACAATACCTGCGTAAAGTTTGTAACCACCCGTCGCTGGTGCTGACTCCGTCCCATCCGAAGTACGAACAGATCACGTCACAGCTCAAGAAACAGAACTCCAATCTCAGGGACATATTGCACGCTCCGAAACTAAATGCACTCAAGTAAGTTTTTTTTTGAGATTTTATGTCTTCACAACAGCCAACGTCTTATAAAGTAACAGTTCTAGGTGTTATGCACACTCCTCAGTGTAACAGTATTGTACAGAAGGAAGTAATACACATGTACATGTGATCGTACCAGTAAGGGCTATTTCTAAATATCGATACATTTGTATTGGGGGAGGGTGTAGGATGAGGGGATGGAAGAGAGAGGCTGTCGCTACATTCAGTTAAAACAAGATCCTGTGTTCCACTATTAAAACATTTTACATTCTCCCAGCCCACCCCCATCATACTGCCCCCCTACCAATACAACGCAACTCTCCAACCCCACCCCATCATACTGCCCCCTACCAATACAACGCAACTCTCCCACCCCACCCCATCATACTGCCCCCTACCAATACAACGCAACTCTCCAACCCCACCCCATCATAGCAGCTTCCCCCTACCAATACAACGCAACTCCCTCACCCCACCCCTATCATACTGCCCCCTACCAATACTACGCAACTCTCCCACCCAACACCCATCATACTGCCCCCTACCAATACAACGCAACTCTCCAACCCCACCCCATCATAGCAGCTGCCCCCAACCAATACAACACAATTCCCCCACCCCACCCCATCACACTGCCCCTTACCAATACAACACAACTCTCCCACCCTACCCCCATCATACTGCCCCCTACCAATACAATGCAACTCTCCCACCCCACCCATCATATTGCCCCCTACCAATACAACTCTCCAACCCCACCCCACCCCATCACACTGCCCCCTACCAATACTACGCAACTCTCCCACCCCACCCCATCATACTGTCCCTTACCAATACAACGCAACTCTCCCACCCCCATCATACTGCCCCCTACCAATACAACGCAACTCTCCAACCCCATAATAATGCCCCCTACCAATGCAACTCTCCCACCCCACCCATCATACTGCCCCCTACCAATACAAAGCAACTCTCCCACCCCACCCATCATACTGCCCCCTACCAATACAATGCAACTCTCCAACCCCATCATACTGGCCCCTACCAATGCAACTCTCCCACCCCACCCATCATACTGCCCCCTACCAATACAACGCAACTCTCCCACCCCACCCATCATACTGCCCCTTACCAATACAACGCAACTCTCCCACCCCACCCATCATACTGCATGAACCCTGGAAAATTCTCGCTTTGAAATAAGTTTGTTTTCAATTTACTTATGTTAGTGAACTAGACGTGTAATAAATAACAACATCATCAGCTTATTGTTTTCATTGTTATTGTAGACAACTGCTGCTGGACTGTGGGATCGGTGTTGACCAGTCCATGCCCGCCCCCGGTCAGCAGCAGGTGACCAGTAACCTGCCTGTGGTCAACCAGCATCGGGTGCTGCTCTTCTGTCAACTCAAGGGCATGCTGAACATTGTTGAGAAAGATCTGCTCAAGTACGTCACAAAATGTTCAACGTTTGTTTTAGATACTCTCAACATAAACCTGGTCTACCAATGAATTTCTGTGACAGTTCTATAACTACCATAGATCACTGAATTCCTGGGAATGCCTATTTTTTGCTATTACTCTAGCTTCCTATTTCAATATGAATGATTTGATTTTTGTCAAAGAAGCCACAGTGATGAATGTATTATTTACTTGTCAGACTAATTGTTTATACAATTTGAATTCATGACTGCATGATTTAAGGCAAAAGTAAATAAATCGGAAAATTGAAATAATTTAAGTAAAAATAATTGTTGTGCAACAACATTTAATACTTGGGACGGTTTCAAGGAATGTCGACAATGCTATAATTTGAGTCAATAACTTTCTGTTCCATCAGTATTTTTTCTTGGGAAGATAAAAATAAAATATTCAGATATTAGGTTTTATTTTGGAGCCGCATAACTAAATATTCTAGAATTTAACTAATCCACCCCTGAAATTTCATAATGAACTGTTCCAACCTTTGAATTGGAAGAGTTCAAATGTGAAGTCTTCAGGGATGGATGAGTTAAAAATATGGTTAGAACTGTACTTTTTAAATGGTAATTTAATTGTCCCCGATTGACATAGTAAATAATACCAGCCAAGCATTACAAGCCTGTATGTCATTGGCTCATAATTTTCAGAAACCATATATTCCAATGTCAAATTGTTCATTTGTCATTCGTAGCATACATATGTGCAAGTGCTGTTTCATATTTTCTGGACCATCACTCCTGAGAGGTACTATCATCTTACCCTGGACAGGTGTATCCACACTTTTACCGGTGTGGGATTTCCTTGTCTCACCCTAGGGTTAATGCAAGCTACACATGCTCTTTGCACGTTCTCCACAATAAACCTGACGTCACTGATGTGACCCAGAAGAAGAATTACTTTTATATGGTCACACAGATACACAAGTTTGTCTGCTAAGCTTGTCGTGTTTACATTTGACATCAAAGAAGATGGGATTGATTTTAAAATGTTTAAAATATGATGCGTGAACCGTCTGACGTATACATATAATATTAATACGCTATTCGCGTGTTCCTGTTTGCAAACAATATGCTTCGTCTTACACTTGGACAGGAACAACAGGGTAAGAGAAAAATAATTATTAACCCCCAAGGGGATGTAAAGATTTTATTAATCAAGGATTATCTTATAAAACTGTGGGTATTTGATTTCAGAACACATATGCCTGGCGTCACTTATCTCCGTCTTGATGGAAGTATTCCCGCAGGATCACGACATAACATTGTCAACAGGTGGGACTGAAATTATGTTAATCTGGAATAAATACAATCTAATTAAAATTATATCTTCACATCGCTCCCGTTTACTGATATGTAGCGTTGAAGATCTAACAACATCCCGTAGAGGGTCACGTCAGAGGTCAACATGAATGCATTATCATATTTATAACAAGCCAATCAAAACGCGACATAACTCTTTCTTAAAACCAATCAGAAAGCAGGACCTGTAGCATTTAATGCAGACACCTCGTAGCCCAAAATCCACTTTTTCGTCTGGTCCAGTGATTGTTTGAATATTGCGAAGCCTGTCATTGGTTAATTTTAGTTTCAGGTTGTTAAACTTTTAAACGACAACATCACCAGAAGAGGAAGTCTCTCTTATTTCAAAGCAAAATCCACAAATTGTACAAACGTTGTCTTGTAGATAGACACGGCGTGGTGTCATGGGCGCCGCCATTTTCGATGCTCATTTGACACCTCTCGGTCTTTTATCATAGCAAGTGTGTTCCGAAATCATTACATCATCACTTACAGAAATGCGTAAGCTCTCATCTGATTGGTTAATGCAAAGGTCGCCTGAACATGACCCTCTACGGGATGTTGTTAGATCTTCAACGCGACATATCAGTAAACGGGAGCGATGTGAAGATATAATTTTAATTAGATTGGAATAAATAGAAACTTTATTTATTTTACAACAATTATGAAACAATTTACAACTTATATTTACCACTCTTGTTAGCCCAGATGTGGGTTCTTCCTGTGGGAGGACACCAGAGTACATGGAGAAAACCCACGTAGTCGGGCTGGTAAACCCATACCATTTTATGTCCAATTGGGGAATCGAACCCCGGCCGCCTTGGTGAAAGGCAAGTGTGCTATCCACTGCGCAACCGGACCACCCTTGTGGTATTGAGATATTTCTATGAGCCAAAATGATTTTTATAGATAACTTTATATAAATATTGATGAATAAATATTATAAAAACAAACTTACAAAAAGTGGCATAACACTTGTCAGGTATTACGGATTAAGAGAAAATCTTCACTTTGATTAAAACAGTTCGAAATTGCAATATGATCAAAGGGTTACATCTCTCTATCTTGAAATTTAAAATTGACAATAGGAATATAATTATACCAATGAATCAAATAACACCCCAATTTAAATGTCCATCAATCTTAGCAGAGTTTATTATTATTTTATGGTGTTTTCTGTCATTTGGAAATATGTTGATGTAAGACTGTATGTGTTATTGACATAATTATGTGGGATGTCTTTCAGATTTAACAATGACCCGTCAATAGACCTCCTCCTGTTGACCACCCATGTAGGTGGCCTCGGCCTGAATCTAACTGGTGCTGATACTGTGATATTTGTGGAGCATGACTGGAACCCCATGAAGGACCTTCAGGTAAGGCGGGCTGACATATCCAGTGGTGTAGCAACTCATTTTCCAAGTGTATGCTTACAGATGGTTGAGTGTCCAAGGCACGTAGCGCCGACGCAGAAAGAGAGTGAGAGAGTGAGGAGATGGGGGGNTGGTCCCCTCTCGTTGGTGGGGGGAGAACAAAATAATTCTACTAGGACTTGGATGCAATCTGTCGTATTCTGGGAACTCCTTTTGATTTTTAACAAGTAAAACCTGACTTTTTATATGAAAAACATTGTATTTTGTACTTTAATAAGTAGTTTTTGATTTACGTAGCCCTTCGAGATGTTTCATTGTGTATAGACACAACATAGCAACACTATTTCATAAGACGAAAATTTTCAACAAGGTCCATATCAATCATAAAAAAAAAATAAAAAAAAAATATTAGTGTATGTTTATACAAGCATACATGTATGCTACACCACTGATATCAATGATACTCAACCAGCCGACAATCAATGCTACTTTACCCTTTCACCCCTATGTAACTTTAATTAACCCTACCATGCATTGATCTGGATAAGTCCATTATGGTCTACAGTGGCATAATGGTATTTGTATGTAAGCCAGAACAACAATGGCATATTTACCTCATAGGTTTGGAGAGACGGATGGCTGCCAATGTCATTGATGTAGTAAAGGGGGATAACTCGTAAATGTTTAGAGAGGTTCCCCATGTGGGTAAGCATGGAGATTAATATAGAATTGAATGATTTTCATTTGAATTTACAGGCAATGGACAGGGCACATAGGATCGGACAGAAGAAAGTTGTGAATGTCTATCGTCTGGTGACCCGTGGAACTTTGGAGGAGAAGATTATGGGGTATTTAGCTTTGTTAGGTCACCTGAGACAAAGTCTCAAGTGACCTATTGCG